AAATACCTTTTATAATAACTTAATGAATGATATTCAATTCTTATCTTTATTATAACTCTTTCATTTTATTTACTGATTTTCTTTGGTTGTGTTTTTTAACTTTGAGTACATGTGAATTTATTCATTACCAACAACATACAAAACATATGAGATGTTATAATTGTATTTTCATTTATAAATACAACACTGATAAGAATATTTAATTGTTTTTCATCAACTTTTATAACTTAGTTATTCATTTGATTTGATATTTGAAATGTACATAAAGAATCTTGATAATACAAAAGATGTAAGAATTTTATTTTCATCTTCATCCATCTCTTTTTGATTATCATCATTATTATCATGATTATTGCCTTTGTGTTATTTGTTTCTGACTATCATCTTTATTTTCATTTGATTGATCAGTAGTTTCATTGTTTGAACAAACTTTCATATAATTATCACTAACTCTGATGTTGTTGTTTTTTCTTTGTAATTAGCTGAAGTTCTAAGAAAGTTTGACATTGATTAACATCAGTAATTCGTTAGTTCATGGAAGTGATAATATTTATTGAAACAAAAGAAACTAACAATAAGAATGAGAACATTGTATAAATATCAGATGGATTTGTTGTTTAAATAATGTAATAATGTTGTTATATCATTATCTTAAATCAATATATGAAACAAATATGTTTGAAATGAACTATTTCTACATTTGAATATTGAAGTACAAACAAAATAAAATAAATAATGATTTGACAAACAATTTATTATATTTTTGATCAGTATTTCATTGTCACAACAACAAAAGAAAAACAAATAAACAATCTTATACATAAAGAATGTTTTCATATTAGATTAATTATTCATCCTAGTTGAATTTCTTTTTCATTTTGATGAGAAAACCAAAGAAGAATAATTGTTTTGATGAGATAATTATTTGGTATTTCTCGACTCCAAATGATTGCAATAGAGGTAGTTTAGAATGAAGTTAAGAAGTAGATATTCGTTTAAATTCATCATAAAGATTAAAGTTGTTGTTATGAATTGTTTTTCAATCAAAAAGAGTTGAAGAAATCCATTAATTTGATTATCAGATTTCATTATCATTGAATTTAATAATTCATCAAAACATTATTCTTTATTTTATGAAAATGAATATTTTGATTGTTTCATAATAAACAAATCTAAATCAAGTGATAATAACATTGAATACAAACAATTTGTAGTGTTAATCATTAATAAGAGAATATAAATTGAATCATATTAAAGAACTCATAATAGTAAACAAAATGATATTTTCATTCAATGAAATTGTTTTATTATATTATTTAAATTGATAAATTAATTATTCATATTGTTCATATTTCTTAATGTATTGTAATTATATAATAAAAGTGATATTTCAATATACACAAATACTACAACACAACAAAGAATCAATTTTGAATAAAATGTGATGAAGAATAGAATAACAAAGATAAAAGAATGAAAGAATTAAAATACAAATGAATAATTCAAAACATTTAGAATAATTTATATAAAATATATTGTAATGATGAATATAATAATTCGATATTTATTTAATATATTTATTCATGTTATTATCAACTATTAATCATTTTGTTTAATAAAACTTAAACACATACAATGAATAAATAAGATATTTACTAATTATTTTGAATTGAAATATTATTAATTATATTAATTTATGATATTCTTTTGATAATTATTTATTGATTATGAATCCAATTCTAATTATTATTGATTCTAATTCAAATGTATTTTCATTGTTATTAAAGAGATATTATACATTTTATTTTAAATAATGATTTCATTTATTAATTTAATATTTATTCATATTCTTATGTTGATATAATATGAAATGAATTTCAATTACAATAACATTGATTATTGTTACAATTCATTTATCATATTCTTTATATTATATTCATTTGTATTATTCAGGGAACCAAAATAAGTGAATAAATAGTACATATAAATAAAAATCATAAAAATAAAAATGAATAAAATAAATTATATCAATAAAATGTTGTTAATTATTTTATATCAATAGATTAGATGCTTTTTATTGCATATTTCTAATTTCTATAATAAAAAATACACTTTGTTTCATCACTCTTTTCATCTTTTATTATCTCATTTTAAATTATTCATTTTTATCTTCTTTCTTTTTTATATTCTCAACTTTCTACTTTTATTCTTTCATCTTTTTCTACTTCTCAATTTCACTTTTTCTTTTATAAAATTCTTTCTCTTCATTTCTGTTCATTTTTCTCTTAATTCCTTTTTTCATGATCTATTTTAACTATCTTTCTGGATATGAATAAATGAATATTTGTTGATTCATAGTTTATTTTGATATATAATTATTTTAATAATGAAATATAGTAGTTGGGATACGTTTAATTAAGAGATAGTTTTAGTAGCAACAAATGAATTGAAATCATCATCTTTTATGAATGGACATAAACAACTTGTTGTTCAATGAAATTCAATACTCCAATAAATAAATAACATTCCATTACATCTTTCATTGAAGTACTTTCAATATATTGATGATATTTGATTGTTTCATCATTCATATAATGATGTTACATATGTGAAATCATTATTAAAACAAATTTTTAAATTAGTGGATTTTGAAGAGATATAAATCCTTTGAATAGGTAATTATAGTTCCTATTATCACTAACATCAATCAACAAAGAATCAATATTTCAATATATTTATTTGAATATTTCCATTATATAAGTTAATTTAACATTTTTAATTGAATACAAATTATCTTCTACAAAAGTTCAATATTGTATTCAATATTAATAAAAGACAATAAATAAGTATAATATAATATGATGTTAATTCATTTATATTTGTATTGTTACATTTGTTTTAAGTGTTTTATTATTGTACAAAATTCAATGCCATAA